CGGCTGCGGCTCTGCCTTGCGTGTGAGTGCGCCCCACTCACATGTAAGTCCCGGAGCCCGGCTCCACGGCACCCGCGACCCGTCCGGCGGGCGACGGCCACGGGGACGGGGACGTGCGGGGCAGCGCTGCCCCTCGTCCCCGGCACCCTTGATCATCTCTCTTTTCTCTCTCCTCTTCTCTCTTCCACTGGCGCACCCAGAACCGGAGCCCGGAGCACCGGAGGGTAACCGTAGCCCGCGCCCTCGGGCCGCTGCACTCTTCTTTTTGGAATTGTTTGACGTTTCTTGGTGCTTTTTTGGGTGCTTTTTGGTTTTGCGCTGTCGTGGGGTGCTTTTTTGGTTTGCTCTTGCCCCTTTTTCGTTGCTCATCCTTTTTTGGCGCTAACTCTTAGGCTACCAGCCCCATAACCCCAGGTCTAGGCGGCCGCCAGCGGCCGTCCACGGGGCTGTGTGGGGACCACCACCGAGTCCCCGACACGGGGCGCGCCGGGGCCGGGCGCAGCGAGCCCGGGGGCACTCAGGGCACCCGGGCCAGGCGTGAGCCTTGTCCCGCGAGGGGCCAGAACCACCATGCTGAAGTTAGCCATGAAGATGAGAGCCCGCGCGGCGGAGAGCCACCGGAAGACCGCGGCCGCTGCCGCCGAGGTGGCGGCCGAAGCTGCGCTGGCAGCGGCCGCCTTGGCCGAGCCCTGCGAGCCCTTGGCGCCAACGAAGCCCGCGGGCGCCGAGAAACCCGCGAAGAGTACGGCGCGCGATGCGCCCCCGGCCTCTATGCTGACCGAGAAAGAGCGGAAGAAGCTAGAGAAGAAGCTATTGGAACAACGCCGCAAGGAGGAGAAGAAGCGCGAGAAGGAGAGGAAGAAGTTGGAGAAGATGCAGAAGAAGCAGAAGAAGGGACCCGCAGCCCAGGAGGTGGCCAGAGGCGTGGGCCGCGAGGAGGGCGCCGCCGGCGAGGCCGCCGCCGCGGGCGCCGCGCGGGGCGGCGCAGGGGGCGGCGAGGCCGCCGCTACCGGGGCCACGAGTAGGGCCTGGGCCTCGTGGGAAGTGGAAGACGACGACGACGAGGACGACGTCTACTACGGGATGCCACACATGGGGGGCCTCGTGTGGCGGCCCGGGCCGCACAAGTCCAGCGCGCTTAGCGTCCACCTGCCCCTGGCCATCTTCCTGGTGTTCTCCGTGCGCAGCCCCTCGTGGGTGCTCAACTTCCTGCTGCAGCGGCGCTCCGAGCAGGGCCGCGGCTGCGGCTTCATCTTCGGAGCGACCTGCTGCTTCCGAGTGTTCCTCGGCTGCGCCTTCTTTGGCT